TGTATGATATAATTGTTCATATATCTACTAAAATATTGATATTATGGTCTATAACTCCTCCCCGAACTTCCCTCTGCCCTGTATCTTGGTCTCTCATTGGCTGTATAGCCACATCGCCGATGTGTTTTTCAGTCAGAAATAATTGCACACAGCGTGATTGTGAATCGCCGACAGCTCCAGATATTTAGCATGCCAAATATTTTGCGGGCGTCGGCAGTCGGAGTTAATTGACTCAACGCACCCAATTATAAACATACTTTTTTGCTTTACTTAATTGGCGCAGATTGTTTTTCATAATTTTATTGACATGGTATCAATGTAGAGTAGTTTTGGTAAAACATAGAAAGAAAGTAAACGGCACCTAACTAAATAGTACAGTGGAGATACAGTGACATATATCATGGTACTGAATGATTGCTATAGTCATGTATAATTTTATTGACATAAAGCCGAGGCAAAAAATCCGCACACCAAACGAAATGCAAAGTTCAAGGTCCTTAGAACAGGGTCCTTTTTTGCCTTGGCTTTTTGTATTTTTCTTCTATTAATTGACTCAACGCACCCAATTATAAACATACTTTTTTGCTTTACTTAATTGGCGCAGATTGTTTTTCATAATTTTATTGACATGGTATTCCACTGTATATGTCCAGGTTTTTTTTTCTTTTCTTTTTTCAGGTTTTTCAGGGTTTTTTTCCCTTTGCTGGTTCATCCAAACACCTGCTGGGGATTTATGCACCTTACTTCACATGTTTATTTTATTAAAAAAAAATAATTTTTTGTCTAGTTTTAATATTTTTATTTGTTTTAATATTATTATTTTAATATTACATTTTTATTTTAATATGCAAATTTTTTTTTTGATGGTCGTCATTTGATCCATCCTCGATCACTTCTAGTCAGCTTTGACGAAACTCCTCTCAGCTAGCACGTTTTTTCAAAGTGAAAGTAGCCTTGTCACCTGACCTGAATACAGCGCGCTGATTCGCTAAAATTGCAAATTAACTCTTCATATGGATATGCAAGAAAAAGATGAATCAGTGATGTGCATCCTATTTTTTGTGTCCAAATCTATTTATTAAAATTGATTATGCATGACAATATATTAAGAAATATTTAATAATAATAATAATATATATATATATTTTTTCTTATTTTTAAAAATGCGAATTGTGGTGTTTTTTTTTTTTTAGTTTAAAAATCCTTTTTTGTCACTGACCGAAGTGCAAGACGTTTCATTCCTCATTGCTGTAATCAAATATCTCCCTTTTTCTGTCTTACAGAGAAGCTGTTTGGTGAGTTCTTGACCTGGGACCTGCAGGACGCTTTGTCCCACCTGCCTCTGAAATCCGGTCAATCCGTCTCCATCCCTGTCAACATAAGCGCCAAACTGGACTTCTCCGGTCAGGAGAACCTGTTACACGACCTGAACGACGGTAAACATCCACACGAAATCAGCACACATACGCTGACACGCAAAAACAACATCAATGGGGTCCATTCTGGTTTGTCCCATCCAATTTACGCTCAATTTCTGAGAGTGCATCAACGGAGCCATCGCACTATAATCAAGACAGGCTTGATTGCTCTCTGATAGATAGAAAGGCAGTATTCACTTTGCCCTGTTATGGTAGATCTGATCCAAGCGAGGTGATTTGAAATGGTGTCTGTACTCTCTCATTTCACATTCAACAGAGACATCGGCCGCCTCTCTTCAGTATTACCCCCTCTCCGTTTGCTCTGCCCTCTTATTTCTTCTCTGGAGTCATATCCATTTC